ACAGCTTCATCCAATCAACGTCTGACAGTCAGTGGATAAAAGCGTCCTCTGAAATCACTCCGACCGCTTGCCAAGTCCTCGTCATGCCTTCCTAATTCAAAATTACAAGTTCATCATCCATTAATGGTCACTGTTCTTTACTTCAAGCACCCAGTCCAGCTGCACTTCCTCCTCCTGCTCAACAAAGCGCACACCTCAGTCCTGAGGGGAATTCCTCCAGCGTTTCAATGCCAACCTCTGATTATCTCAGGTCGCTTCGCTTGCCATTCTCCCGCCCGCCAGCGGGGAGTCCTCGCCGCCTCCAACAGCGGGCAGAACCATGGATCACCTGCCTCTTGGTTTCGCCGGACCCATCGTGATCGCCCGTCCTCGTCCCGCCTCGGCCTTCAGCGCGGGTGCCCTCCTCCCACCTGCCGCATCTGCCCCGGCACCAGCTGCCAACTTCCACCTTCAGGAAAACCTCTCCTCCACTTTCCAGCTCCGCAGCCTTTCCGGCTCCACTTTTGTTATTGCCCAGCCCGGGCCATCCTAGGGTGAGATGTACCCACTCATTCTCATTCATTCACTCAGTCTCATTCATTTTTCAGTCCCTCATGCTAGACTGCTACCATGGGAAGCAGAAAGTGCCACAATCGCTCTCACCTTGCACTTTTACCCACCCTCACCTCTCCCACCCAGGCCGCACACCAAAGGGTCTCGCGTGTTGCTCAGACTCATGTACAAATAGCCATGTCATCTTCAGTCCTTATGAAAATGCTACTCATGATCTGTATGGCTTTGCATCATAGCCATTTCTAATGCTCCTTGAAGTCACCGAATCTGTCACCTCCATTCAGCTCGTCTCCAAGATGTATGTTAAAATAAAACCTATCATCTTGCATCGGTTACTTTTGTTCTACCAAGTCGAAAAGCGCTTCAATTCAATTCAAATTCAATTCTAAATTAATTTATTGATCCCAGAGGGAAATTAGGTAAAGCATCGCTCCCGTCTGCTTTATTTTAATTATCTGACCCAAGTCGTTTGAACTCCTCTCCAGGCCAGAAAGTCCATTTGATGCTTAACTGTTTCTTATTGCTGATTTTCATTTTAAATCAGGCATCTCCACGCAGTGATTTTGGTGCGGATAATATAATGAGAAAAAATGGCACATTGTCATTTCAGATCATCAACAATCTGGATTGAAACTGTTAAAATGTTCTATATGTCAGCTTGCTTATAGGTGTCTCTAGAAACTTGGATTGTATTTGATCCTATTTTTCAATTAACTGGCTCTTTAAACGCATTGACATTAATTGAGGTTCCTCTGGTCTGCTCAGCTGGTTGAAATTCATTTAACTAAGTGTGCAAAATCAAGCGAACGGTCATCAGCTTTGTACACTCCATTTATAATAGTTGGACGAAAAAGGCACGCAACTTTATTTATTCCGTCTCAAGGCACTCACCAGTAAAGCTGTCGCAGTTTTTCTCGCAAAATCATTACGCCCCACATTATTCCTCGTATTCACCTGGGTCTCTCCTCTGTGCTAGATCGCTTTTTCTGTTCCTAGATGAGCCTATATTGCAACTCTCTGGTGGTGGTTGGTCTTACCAGTTTTAATTCTGATTTTGTCTAAGAACCCAATCCTACCCACCTGCTTCATCCATGGCAAAGCTCTCATTTGTGTCTTCAAGTAGCAGACTTTAATCAGTCAGCTCGCATTTGCATCCTCAGTCACCAACTTTAATCTATCAGCTCATGTTTGCATCCTTTGTAGTTTCAGTCGGCTTCATTGATTTGATTTGATTTGATTTATTGATTTAAAAGGAAAAGATTACTAAAAATCAAGCCTGACTCAGCATAATTGCTGTTTTACAGCAGGTTCCTGTTCTGCAGCACATAAAACACTCAGAAWTACAGCATCACAATCACATCATTATACACCATAGACACAAAGACAAACAAGCATACCAAATTTCAGGAAGGCAGCATTTGCAAAATAGGACGTCTAAATATGAGCACAACAGAAAGTGTCCAGCAGATGGCAGACAAGATTCTTCTTAAAGGGCTGTAGTTTTGAAATGGACTTTATGTTTTGAGGAATGTCATGCCATGCTTTAGTATAAACATAGAAGAAAGACCTCTGGCCGTAACAGTTTCTAAAAGTTGGTAATATCAGTTGTCCTTTTGTAACAGATCTAGTTGAATGACCACTTCCAGTATTTGATTTGGGCAACAATGCACAGAGAGTTCCATAATTGACACCTAGAAGATCTGAAAATATAAATTAATACCACTATACAAAACATAATTCTGAAAAGTCAAGGCATCAGACAATGAAAGAACTGTACAGTGATGAGTCCAAGGGAGTTTTTTATGAATTTGTAGGCCCTGTTGTAGAGCCTAACTATGGGTTCTAAGATTTCATTTGTTGTAAGAGACCAAACAGGTAAACAGTACGACATGGTTGAGAGTATAATGGCATGAAGAAAGACATTTGAAACAGAAGATTGGATCTAATTTTTGAATAAATGTATAATTTCTGTTTCAACTTAGTGGTTAAGACTTGTACATGATCACGATAAGTCAAATGAGAATCCAAAGTAATTCCAAGATATTTGTAGGTAGTGACAATATCAAGGGGTTTGTTTAAAAAAGTGACTTGATTTGTTATATTGAAATGTCTCCTGGGTGAGGAAAAATACATGCACACAGTTTTTTTTAACATTAATTGACAAAATATTATCTTGAAGCCAACCATGAAATGTCTGAAGATCTGCTTGTAACTGACTATTAATAGATTCAATATTGAAATCAGACAAAAAAAGAACAGTATCATCAGCATACATTAAAATATTTGAATACTACTCTTACTACTAATATACTAATATTTGAATTCATTTGTGTCCTCAGTACCAGGCATTAATCGATCAGCCAACATTCGCCTCCTCAGTAGCTGGCTTAAATTCTTCAGATCACATTCAAGTCCTCAGTGACTGGTTTTAATGTATCAGCTCTCATTTGCGTCCTCAGTAGCTGCCTTTAATCCTTCTGTTCTCATTTGTTTCCTCAGTAGCAGTCTTTAATCTATCAGCTCACATTCATGTCCTCATTGGCTGACTTTAATCTTTCGCCTCGCATCTGCGTCCCCAGCAGCTGGCTTTAACTCTTTAGATCACATTTGTGTCTGCAGTAGCTGGTTTTAATCTATCAGCTCATGTTTTCGTCCTTAGTAGCTGGCTTTAATCCTTCTGATTTGTTTCCTCATTTGCCTCTTTTATCTACACTCACCGGCCACTTTATTAGGTACACCTGTCCAACTGCTCGTTAACACTTAATTTCTAATCAGCCAATCACATGGCGGCAACTCAGTGCATTTAGGCTGAAAACCAAGCCAAGATCCAGGCGCAAAAACCGCGATTTACGCACATCCAGACCCCGACAGCGGGCGTTGTTGGC